CAAAAAAAAAAAAAAAAAAGAAAGAAAGAAAGAAAGAAAGAAAATGATTCTCCTAACATATAGCAGTGATTTTTTTCCACCCTTGCATAACCTTCGTGTGCCATATATATATCATCCACTGTGGGTTGCTGGTAGAAAACCAAGAAGATACAGTCCCTATTTTAAAAGAACGTGCAATTGATAGTCTTGTACCTGGTTTGCAATACCATCCTTCAATCTTAATTAAACAAGTTATCTAATAGTGTTTTTGCTAACTTCTGTGGCCTCTGGTTTGGTCAGCCAACCTTACTCATAATTGTCCTCCTCCCCTATGGCTCAGACTTCCTTTTCTTTTGATCCATGTTTTCATTCCCTCCCACCTACAAAAATCAACTCTTTCCAAATGCCACCATCTTTTAAGGTCAATGTGAGGTCTCATTTTCTCTAAGTCTTATCTTATTATACTATCACCAAATCATATCTGTCTTTCTGTATACTATTTGCATTTACAGATATTCCTTATACTTTGGATTTGTGTCCCTGTGACTCTTGGTAAATGGTAGCTTTTATTGTTACTTCATAAACTGCTGATTGGGAATAGTGCCTTGCACACATTTGCATTTCAATAAGAGTGCTCAGAAAACTTGTAGTTTGATCAAAAGCATATGTTTCTGAAGTATCGGTTTCTAATTTTGAAGCTATAGTTTCTTAAGGGAAGACAGTCAAACCTGATAGGCAGACTACCAGCATCCAAAGACCTATGTGAAGAATACTCTATCTCTTGTTTTCCTTCTGTTCTGTAATTGCAGGGAAGTTGAGATTTGGAATGTTGTAGTTATAAGAATCATTGCTTTTTGGAAGTATGAAACTGTCAAATCAATGTCCACAAATCACTTTACTTCTCTACATCCTTCATTGCTGCAAAGCACTGTTTGGACTCATCCTGGCACTAGAATTCCTGAATAATTAATTTCAACATGGCTTCTCTTGCTAGTAATTGAAGACTCTTTTGCCCAGGAAGAATGACTTATTAGTTGCTTTCTGAGAAGCTCTTTTGCTTATGCTTGTCTCTGCTTGTATCCAAGATGTTTCTACCCATATAATGAGCACCTTGCTTCTTCTCCACCTTTGACATGTATTCTGTAAGCCTAAGCCAGGCACACATTTTTCTAGCCCACGTTTTTTTAGTCCATTCATGGATTTTTGTGATGCTTAAGCCTATTTCACTCATATAACTCTTAACTAGCCCCTGGCTTATGTTTAATTTTCAAGGGGTATATAATCTGCCTCCTTAAATAATTATATATTCAGAAGAGGGACTTTTTCCAGTTGTGAGGGGAGGGGAGTAGAACTAAAGATTTAGAGTCAGACAGATATGTGTCTGAATTCTCACTGCCTGAGTGACTTTAGACACTAATTACACTTTACAGGTCCCAGTGTCCTCATCCATATGCTGAGAGACTTAATATCAGCCTCACAGGATTATAGAAGTGTATTACAAAATATAATAGATGCAGAATGCTTGGCGCATCATAAGTATGCAACAGATACCAGTTCTCCTTTCTCTCCCTTCATATTTTTCCTGGAATATGGCAAATTTTTTACTAGAGCAAAAATACTGTTTTCCTCTTTGGTCTATTTCTCTTTTATATTTCCTCCAGTTTATGAAACACAAGTTCCCATGCAAAAACTATATAAAATACTAAATACTTCCTTCAAATAAAATGTACATATGTACATGCATGTGGGTATATATTATGTATGTATATGATTAAGCAACATTTTTATTAAGTTGTTCTTCCTTTTGCTAAGATGCTTAGAACAGAGGCAGCATCAGTTCTGTAAGTATCTTATATTTCTTAATTAACCCATGATAGCATACATGTTTCTCAACTAATTGCACTATACCCATGTATATATATAATATATACAATTATTATTTGTCAATTAAAAATTAAAATGATATTTTAAAATTGTTTGCCATTAGGGCAGGAATAGGACCTATATTTTGATAATAATATACATTCCTAACTACAGTTGCTCATATTATTTCCTTATAAGGAGTTAAAATGTATAATGTGATTATTTTTCTTCCACTGAAGTTCAAACTGATTTTGGCCAATCTGGATAAAGAACTTGCTCCTGGCCTTCATGTGACAGCTATGGTGGAATATCATCCAGATAAAGATGAAGACATTTTTGATCAACTACTTATTTCAGTAGGAAAGAAAATAATAGAAATCCCACTAATTGGGTATGTAATCTTCATATTTTATGCTGACATTTTGAAATTTTTCAAATAAAAATAAGGGTCAAAGTGTAATATTCTGTATATTTTCTTACTTGTATTTATAATTTCCTTGCAGCTGAGCTTAAAAGACAAGATTTTAGAAAATTGTGATGTATATAACAAATGAAGGCCTCATTTTCTGGTTTCATTTTTTTATGAAAATAACTTAAAGCATTCAATAAATGAATGTATTCTTAGTTGAAGTTTTGAAAACTCGTATCCACGTTTTAATTTAACTTTGAAGTATTGTCATATTTGCTTCTCTACATTTTAAATGTAGGCAGAGGTTTGGCTTCAAAAAATCAAAATGCTGCTCTTTTGAGATTGGTTGTGGATGGATATAATGATGAATATAATGAGGATAACATCAAACTAAGTGACTGTCTTGGAGATTAATTTTGATAAAAATTATTTATTGAATCAGGATGAATGACTTTTCATTTGTTTTCTTTTTATATTCAAAAAGTTTATTTCTGCTTATTGTAAAATCTCCTATTAAACTTGGTGTTAAAATTCAAAGTACTTTTGTTCATATACATACATGTATGGTCCTCCTTTTCTTCAGCAAGATGTGGCTCCATAGGTGTTATTCTTTTGCCACTATTTGTCCACAACCTGCAAAGTTAATATTGGAATCATTTCCTGCTGATTACATGGTATTAGACATATGTGTTTAATAATTTATTTGTTTTTTCATTTCTATAAACTAAATGTAGATCCTCAATTATTTTGGTTGTTTGTGTTGTTGAGAATTTCTGATTTAGCACACCATACCATCTGTGGAGGAACCAATCTATTGATACATGGTAGGAAACAAGCTATTAACCCTTACAAATATTTAATACACATTTTGCAATTTAAGTAGGTCCATTTTTGTTGCATTTTTCACTTTGACATAGCTATGACTGGAATTCAGATTTGATTGTTTGTTCTTTGTATGGAAAGAAGGGCTGAAGATGCTTCTACCCTAGAAAACAAAAATTTTTATCTTGTTTGTACAGTGTATGCCTTTTCTCATCAGAAGTCAGGTATCACAGCTGCAACATAAGGAGAGCACTGTCCCCCTCTATGTGTGATGGACAGAGTTGAAAGAAGGTGGTGTGTGTGTGTGTGTGTGTGTGTGTGTGTGTGTGTGTGTGTGTGTAAGAGAGAGAGAGAGAGAAGAGATAGGATCTTGGTGGGGGGAGGGATAGAGAGAGAGGAAGAGGAAGATGGAGGGAGGAAGTTTGTTGCTATATGTCTTTATTTTTTTAATTCAGATGATTGACTACTCATGTGCAGTGATAAGAAAAGAAAAATAAAAAGATCTTTTGTGCATTTTTCTGTTTTCCTCAATAGTAACATTTTGCAAATGCATAGGATATACCACAACTGGGAAACTGACATTGATGCAATCCACCTTGCCACAGTTTTAGTGACATACGTGTGTGTGATTAATTTCTATGCAATTTTATTATATTTATGGGTTTTTGTATCCACCACCACGATCAAGATACTGAATGGTTCCATTACCAAAATAACCCCTCCTGTTGCTTATTATAACTATACCCAGCTCCTTTCTGACTCAAATCCATGATCCCTAAACTGTCTTCTATGTCTAAAACTTTGTCACCTTGAATATGTCATATAAGCTGAATCATATAGTATATAACCTTTTGATTTTTTTTTTCTATCAGCGAATTCCCTGGAGATTCAACCAAGATGTTGAATGTATCAATATTGTGTTCCTTTTTATTGCTGAATACTATTTCATGTTATATATATATATCATAGTTTGTTTAACCATTTAACCTGTTGAAGAACAAAGGAACTGATTTCAGTTTTTAGCTATTGCAAATAAGCTGCTTTAATATTCTTGTGTAAGTTTGTGTGAGCCTAGATTTTCATTTTTCTGGGATAAATGACCATGATTGTAATTGCTGGGTTATATGGTAATTTCATATATTTAGTTTAATAGAAAATTCTAATTGCTTTTTGAAGTGGCTGTACCATTTTACATTTCAGTGAGCAATGCATTAGTAATCTACTTTTATCACATCTTTGTCAGTGTTTGTTGCTGTCACTATTTTTAAATTTTAGCCATTCTGACAGGTATGTAATGGCATATCTTCAGAGTTCAAATTTGCATTTCTCAAATAGTCCATGCTCATGGATTGGAAGAATCAACATTGTTTTTTGTTTGTTTGTTTTTTGACATTAGCTAACTTTTTTATTTTTCAAGTTTACACATTTTAATAATAATGACATACAGAATTCTACCAGAGAAATTTAAGGAGACAGCTTGGCTAAGTAGTCTTTTCTATGTGAGTTGTTTTATCCTCCTTTGTTCTCTTATTTTTTAGGAATGAGTAATTTTGTTATCAACAACCATAACTTTGTTTTTTTTTTTAATGAAGCTATTAACTCTTGGTAAAATTTGTTACTAATAATTTTACTATCACTGGGTTGCCACTTCATTTTAGTTCTATGTTACTGGATGCTTTTTCTATAAAACCAAATATTTTTTATGCAGTCAAATCTGTCAATCTTTTTTTTCTTTGTGATTTCCTCTATTGGTTCTAAGCCTAAAAAGTTAGCCCTTCTCCCATGGGAAATCTCATTCTGTTAGTTTGAACCAAAGGAAAGTACCACTTTTATAGTTAAGAAATGATTATCAGTGTTTCATATGGTTTAACCTTGAAGTTTTTGGAAATATTATCATTTTTTCTTATAGAAATATTGTGTTACTCAAGCCCCACCCAAAAAATGTACTGAAAGCAATTTTTAATAAAATTACATTTTTAAAAAATGTGAAAAAATTAGCTGCCATTTTCTTATAGTAATCATTTTTTTGTCCTTAATCCTTTATTTTGCCTATATGCAAAATGTAGTTGGTGCTCTTTTGATTGGTAATTTTTTTTTATTACAAAGATGTGGAGTACAATTCAGGGTTAGCTATACAAACATTGATTATGCAGATACCCTTGTTGAAGAGGTATGCCCCTCCCTCCCCTAACAGTTAGAATCAACGTTGTTAAGACGTCCATCCTACCCAAGGCAATCTACAGATTTAATGAAATACCCATCAAATTACCAGCAACATTCTTCTCAGACCTAGAAAAAACAATACAGGAATTCATATGGAAACACAAACGACCAAGAATAGCCAGAACAATCCTCAGCAAAAAAAAAAGCAGGAGATATCACATTACCAGACTTCAAACTTTGCTATAAAGCTACTATAATCAAAACAGCTTGGTATAGGTACAGGAACAGGCATATAGACCAATAGAATAGAATTGAGATTCCAGAAGTTAAGACCTCAATTTCTCAACCAACTCATCTTTGACAAAGCCTCCACTACCAACCACTGGGGAGAGGAGAACCTATTCAGAAATTGGTGCTGGGAAAACTGGCTGACCACATGCAGAAGATTGAAACAGGACCCCTACCTATCCCCATACACAAAAATCAACTCTAAATGGCTCAGAGACCTAAACATAAAACTTCAAACTATAAGAACTTTAGAAAATGCAGAAGTCAGTCTTATGGAAATTGGAACTGGCAACCAATTCCTGATCAAAACCCCAAGTGTCCATGCCATAAGAGATAAGATAGACAACTGGGACTTCATCAAACTGATAAGTTTCTGCAAAGCCAAAGAAACCATCAAGAGAGCAGAGATGCAGCCCAAAGACTGGGAAAAAAATATTTGCCAACTGTATGTCAAACAAAGGCCTACCATCTAGGACCTACAAGGAACTCAAACATGCTGAAAAGAAAAAATAAACAGCCCCATTACAAAGTGGGCAAAATATATGAATAGACATTTCTTAAAAGAAGATATACGGATTCAAGAAGTCAACAGATACTTGAAAGCATGCTCAGTATCAGTAGTCAACAAAGAAATACAAATTAAAACTACACTGAGATACCACCTAACTCCAGTCAGGATGGCTATCATCAATAACTCAAAAAACAATAGATTCTAGAGAGGATGCGGTGAAAATGGAACTCTTCTACACTGTTGGTAGGAGTGTAAACTAGTACAGCCTCTTTGGAAAACAGTGTGGCAATTCCTAAAAGTTCTAAAAATCGACCTTCCACATGACCCTGCAACCCCCCTACTGGGAATATACCCAGAAGAACTCAAATCCCTATATAAAAAAGATATCTGCACACGAATGTTTATTGCAGCATTGTTCACAATAGCAGGAACCTGGAACCAACCGTGCTGTCCATCAAAAGGGGACTGGATTAAAAAAATGTGGTACATATACATGATGGAATATTATGCAGCCATAAAGACGAACAAAATCATGAACTTCACAGTAACCTGAATGGATTTAGAGTCTATTATACTGAGTGATCTTTCACAGAAACAAAGAACTGAGTCTCATGTTTGCACTCATAAGCAGACCTTGAACAATTATCATAATACTATAAGAAAAGGACTGGCAGTAGTGGAAACTGCTGGGAGTTGGGGGAAGCAGGATTGGTAGTAGTAGGAATCTGCCTAGAGAAGGAGGGGCACACCTCAGCAACAAGCGTACCTGCATAATGAACATTTGCATACCTAACCCTGAATTGTACTCCCACATCTTTAAAATAAAAAAAGGAAAAAATAATAAATAAATAAATAAATTTGCTTTTCCCTAATAACTAATGATGTTGAACAACGTATCTTCATGCTTCTTTGCCATCTGAGTGTCTTCTCTGGTGAAATATCTGTTAATATGTTTTTCTATTTTTTAAATTCTTTTTCATCATTGTTTTTTGTTTTGTTTTGTTTATTTCTAGATGCAAGTCTTTTGATTGACATGTGGCTTGCAAATATTTTGTCCCAATCTATGGCTTGATTTTTCAATCTTTTAACAGGGTATCTTTTTGTAGAGCAAAAGTTTTTCTAAAATGTCAATGATGTTCATTTTATTAATTTTACTTTAACTGATCATGAGTTTAGTGTCAAGTTTTAGAACTCTGCT